CACCCTAACCCTAACCAATCAGATTTTTTAGCTTCAACATCAGCCAAACTTCAGCATCAGCCGTCACAATTATTAATCAGGTACGTACGTACGTACGGTTGGGGATGTTGTATTTAACTATTATAAAAACCGAGCAATATATGGAACCGGATGAGCCGATAGCATCCTTACATATGATTACCCACATTCATACCCGGGTCAACCCGGCGGGTCAAGTATTGGCCCGGGTTATAACCCGGGTCATAACGGGGCATACGGAAATTTATAAAGTTAATCCTTAAAATTTGATGTAACGACTCTTAATTAGTGCTACGTATTAGTATATAGCCTGTACCCGGATAAGAACTTTATTATTTAGTATTTAAATTATAATATGTCTTCTACACATTCGGTTATATGAAATAAATTGCGTAATAGGGGGTTTCAGAATTAACTTATTTCGATCCTATTTCTATTTTAAAATTCCGACTCAGGGAATTAAATAAGCAATAAAATTAGCTTTTTTTCTACCAGTAAACGATTATGTAAATACATTAAGTGGCTTTATTTTCGACTTGTCAAAATTGCTTGTTATTACATATTAGATCGTGACTATGAAGTCACGAACTTAATCACCAACCTTATTTTTTTATTTTATTTTATTTTATTTCTTACAGGTTATGGTTCTACGTATAGGAACATTACCACAGAAGAAAGTGTGCTTTCAATCGGCCCCAGAGGTATTGAAGAATTTTGGATGACGTAAGTTACCTTTCTTTTCATTATCTCTTGCCTTATAGTGAAAGCAGTTAATGTACAACAGCAAGAAATACAATGAACACTTGAATAATTGGTTAGTGGTGTTGAGCAGTTAAGTGGCCGGTTTCGCGGATACGGTGACAATGCAAGGATCTTGTTTTTGTTTGTCGCAACGGCAGTGTAAGAACCTTGTTTTTTTGTTTGTTTTTTTTTGGCTCTATGGTCTCTATGGCAGTGTAAAGATTTTATAAGATAATTATGAATAGATAAAACGTCAATAATAATCACCGAATATCACCGAATATTCATTGAATTAATCGGTGAAGAATAAATATATCCAAAATTCGATTTGGCAATAATTACATATTCGTACATTCGAATACTCGAATAATTATTCAACGGATCAGACCTCTTATTTTGAATTCTGAACCGTTTGACCTGGGTTAGAGCAATTTTTGACCCGTGACCCGTTGGGTCGGGTGACCCGTAAACCGACTCGGGTAAGACCTCTAGTTAGACTATTTTGGAAATGGACTAGGAAAACCATCGTCTGACACTTGTTTTCAGATAGGGGTAATGTTAACAATCATGTCACACGAACCTCCGACGTTGCGGAACAGGGGCCTGGGAAATTATTTTGGGTGAAGATAGATTTTCTTTCAGTATTAGATTTTTAAATGTTAAATTACAAATTCATCATTTTAATAATCCCAGGTCTATCTTACCTATCT